TTGAAGAGCTAACTGCTGATTGTCAAACAAGGACATTGCGAGGTAGTTTTCCACTTCAATTTGTTCGGTGATTTGAATACTCTTTTTTGTCAATAAATCCCCCAAGTAGTTAATATGTTAGGAATAAATTTTAAATTTTGATGAGCCGAATGTATTTTTGAAAAATCAAGTAGTCCCCAATTGTATTCTATTTGAGTCAGGTTGAGTCTACACAGTATGGTGCACCCATATCATGCAACCCATGTACAAGTTTGGAAGATCATAATTTATTTGAAGAAGTTAAGCGGGATTATGGCTTAAAACAATTATGATGCGGATAAATCACCAAGAACCATTCTAGAAGAGTTGGATGATATGTATGTGAGTTATGCCAAATGATTTAAAGTTCAAATCTCAAGTAAAGCATTTTTACCTTGCTTGGAAGACTATGGAAGCCGTATGGGGCACTAACCAGTACCGTATGGGAGACTAGCTAAATCGTATGGACCGTATTGGGGACTAGCTAAATCGTATGGACCGTATTGGAGACTAACCAACATGGGAGACTAGCTAGCTTTGGGGACTAGCTAAATCGTATGGACCGTATTGGAGACTAACCAACATGGGAGACTAGCTAGCTTTGGGGACTAACCAAGATGGAGACTAGCTAGCTTGGGAGACTAACCAACTTGGAGACTAGGCAAGAAGGAGACTAACCAACTTGGAGACTAGGCAAGAAGGAGACTAACCAAGTTGAATGCACAAGTCTCACTGAAGCCATGCACCAGATGAAGAAACACACCAAGTAAGGTGAACCAAGCACAAATTCGAAACAGAGCATCTCACCACACACAAACTATGAAGTTTTTACAGAGGTTCAAATATATCATTCTACATGGATTTTCAAGGAGAAAATAACTGATATATTTTCATCTGAACATCAATCTTTTTACGGTGGAACCGGAGACGCTCGAAGGAGGCTGATTCACGGAGATATTGCTTCATACTCAAGCAAGAATCAGCAGATAAATTATTTGATCAACTTGATATGTCAGAACATTAATGAAGGACAAGAAGTGTCAAGCTTGCCGCGCCGAACTTATTCAAATTTTGGAGGCTACAAAATTCAAGACACGGCAACGGGCAAAATATTCAAATCATCTGACAAAAGGCGAAAAGACTTCTACCTAATATTTCAGATCAAGTTGACAATTTTATTTTGATCAACTACATACGAAGATGGACGATCGAGATCGAAAGTTGATCAACGGGCAAATAGCTTTCATTAGCTATAAATTGACCAAGCAGACTTGAAGACAAGTACAGATTCTACACTTGACCCCGATTGTGCGATTTTCAAATTGAGTACGGCTAAGACATACAAGCAAGAGATACAATCAATATTTCTAATTAGCCGAAAAGGGGGAAACAGAGCTTCATAGAATTACATTCAAGTCTGAGTGAGAGGGAAATTTTTATTCCTTTGTAATATTCTCTACTGAGTGTAGAAAGAGGGCGGAGTAACTAGAGAGAGTGAAAACCCCTGGTTGAGTGTAGCTTTGTGCGTAGCACTCGTTGTAAAGGGCAGAGTAACAAGAGGAGCTTGTGAAAACCCTGTGAGAGCGTAACTTTGTGCGTAGTTCTCGTGGTGTAGGAGTACAGCTAGGTGCGAAGTACTCGGGAAGGCGGAGTAACAAGAGGAGCTTGCGAAAAACCTTGGAGGAGTGTAGCTTTGTGCGAAGCACTCGGAGAAGTGTCGGTGGACACTTATTCACTATTGTATCTGGGTGATCGAAGAATAGTGAATTTCCTCCTTGAAGTGAAAGGAGAAGAGTGGAGTAGGAGAATTACACTATCTCCAAACCACTATAAATCTCTCTCTCTATTTACTTACTGCTCATATATTTCGTGCATGCTTATTTTAACTGCGAACTAACCCGATTGCGATTTATTGCATATCTTTATCTGTCTGGGTTTAATAGTTTCCACGTTTGCATACAAGCCAAACTTTACGTACATCATCTTTGAACCATATCAAGTGTTTCTAACGTGTTGCATGTTTAGAATCTCTCTTTGAGCACCACACTTAAGCATAACACTTAACCGCTATCTGTTTCGCTGCACACTCTAAGTTGTTTATCTTGTTGGTGCTTGTTACTTAGAGTTGAAATTATCAAAGTGTTATTTGCCTTGTGTGTTTTTAAAGAAAGTTGAAAAAGTTAGAGAAGTCTATTCACCCCCCTCTAGACTTCTCGCCACCCATTTGGGACCAGCATAATATGATTGGCTTAATTATATATTTTTATTTTTATTTTTTATTTTTTTAAAACAATCATTATTATTTTGCCAAAAAAAATACAATTATTATTATTATTATTATTATTATTATTATTATTATTATTAAATATATTTATACTCTTAGGTCATTTTACATGTTAATCTAAAAAGCTAATTTTTTCAAATATCTTTTTACCAACCGTTGATATAATTTGCTGGTCAAATCCGCTAATATAATTCGCTAATGCTAACCACTAACTGCTGATTGTCAAACTAGGACATTGCGAGGTAGTTCTCACTTCATTTTGTTTTATGATTTGAATACTCTCTGTCAACAAATCTCTCAAATAGTTAATATAATTGGCTTTATTAATTATATTTTTTAAAATTTTTTCATGATATTAATAAAATACTTGTTAAATAAATATATAGCATTATTTTGTATTATAACTTTGATATTTAATTAAAAAATAGTGCACAAAAAAAGATAATAGACAATGTAGTAAATATATAATCAATTGATGAATTTGAATGTAAAGAATTTTTACATTGGAGAAATATAAAGACAAATATAACTAATAAAATTATTTCTCTTAATTAATATATTGATAATGAATAATTTTTTTAATAAAGACATTGTAAGGACAATGTAGCGAATATAATCAATTGATGAATTTGACTGTAAAGAATTTTTATATTGGTGAACAAATAAAGACAATATAACTAAAGAAATAGTGTTAATTACCAAAATGGTCCCTTGACTATAGTGAAATTACCAATTTGGTCCTTGACTATTTTTTTAACCAATTAAGTCCTTCAACTTTAAAAATTTTAACCAATTTGGTCCTCCGTTTGTTTGACCGTTAGTCAACCGTTAACTTGGGACCAAATTGGCAATTTCGCTATAGTCAAGGAACCATTTTCGTAATTAACTTTAGGGGTGGGCGATTCGATTTAGTTTTCACGAATCGAACTGTACCGAACCGAAGTAGTTTGGTTCGGTAATATACCGAACAACCGAACGGTATTGGATTCTTGTATACCGAATGGTTCGATAAAAAACCGATCCGTTCCGATCCGAATTGTTCGGTAAAAAATTGAACTGAACCGAATACCGTTTTATTTTTAAAAATATAATAATAATAATAATAATAAATAAATAAATAAATAAATAAATAAAAGTAAATCCAAGTCCCTTGCTGCTTGCTCTGCTGTTCAGCTCATATACTCACGGGTATCTCCCGTAAATGTTTTATTTGATTTTTTTATGGTTTATTATCAAAAGTTCTATATTATGTGTTATGGTGTTTACATAGTCCATATCCAAAGTCTAATATATAACAAAATAGCAATCCAAAGTTGAAACGGTATTCGGTTTGGTTCGGTTTTTACCGAACAATTCAGTTCGGTTCGAGTTTTTACCGAACCATTCGGTATACAAGAATCTATTACTGTTCGGTTGTTCGGTATATTACTGAATCTAACTAGTTTGGTACAGTACGATTCGAGAAAACTGAACCGAATTGTCGACCCTTAAAGTTAATTACCAAAATGGTCCCTTGACTATAGCGAATTACCAATTTGGTCCCAAGTTAACGGTTACTAACGGTCAAACAAACGGAGGACCAAATTGGTTAAGATTTTTAAAGTTGAGGGACTTAATTGGTCAAAAAAATACTCAAGGACCAAATTGGTAATTTCGCTATTTCAAGGGACCATTTCGGTAATTAACTCAAGAAATTATTTCTCTTATTTAATTTATTGATATGAATAATTTTTTTTTTTTGAATAAATACATAGTAGACACATAATTCTAAATTAAAGAAATGCGCAAGGCTGGCCCAAAGGGGCGGGCGGGATGGGCACCCACCCTGGGCCCAACGTTGGGAGGGCCCCTAGTTTGGGTTGTTTTTTTTTTTTTTTTTTTTTCTTTGATCAAGTTAAAAAAATGCTTACATATATGTAAAGATTTGAATCAATGACTTCAAAATTATTTTACTAGTTTTAAATATACTTAATGTCAAAGACCTTGTGGTCTAATGACATTAAGTTGTTCCCTCATAGGGGAGGTTGTGGGTTCGAGCCTCAGTGGAGGTGATTGGCTCTTTGTGCTTCATTTGGTTGAGAAAGAAGTTATGAATAGATACTCATTGTTGTAAAAATCGGTCTAGGCGCCAGGCGCCCTAGACCGTGGCGATTCCCCCCTAGAGGCGTCCAAGTTAACTCGTCTATTTTAGTCGAGTTAACCCGATCAGCTCAACCTTGGTAATTTTTTTTCATTATATATATATATATATATATATATATATATATATATATATATATATATATATATATATATATATATATATATATATATATATATATATATATATATATATATATATATATATATATAGGGAAGGGCTCCCGTGCATTTACTCCTTCCCGTGTATAATGAGGTTAAATCTAAGCCCCACGTAGCTCTTGATCGAACGAATCAGATTAATAGGAAAATTTAAGCGCGGATTGCTCATTAAGGGCATTTTTGTCCTTTTGATTATATTAAAAAAAAATAAAAAATCGTTTCTTCTTCTTCGAGCGTTTTCAAAATTCACCATTGATTCCTAATCTTCTATATTTCCTAATCTCAGACGAATTTATGATCTCTACGGAATTGGCAATAAGATCTATTCTCTTCGTCGTTGAATATCATATTCGTTAAAATAAACCCTAAACCCATCAAAAACGTCAACCGAAGAATAATGGAAGAATTCGATCGAGGTATTACCCAAATTCTATCGCTTTTCTGGAATTAATTTTATCTGCATTTGTATTGGCATCATTCTTGTCTTAATTACACGCACATTAAGCATGCAACTTAACCACCGAATTACTGAGCTACTTTAATTAATCCGAGCCTAGAGCCTTACGCACGTAGATGATTATGTAGCCGCATCAATTTAAAAAATGCACATATTACTGTTTTCCTCACACATGTTATCCGTTGAGCACACGCACATTAATTCCTTTCCAGACGCATGTTATGTTACTGGACTCTCTGACGCACGTTAAGTAATGGCATAATATTTTAACAAACACTCACGCATATTAACTGTTTAACATGCGCACGTTAACTATTACCCTGACGCACGTTAATTTCTCACTTGCCGCACCTACTCTTGTATTTTATAAATCTGCCATATTGACAATGATCTGATTAACTTAACGCATATTAAGTGTTCACATTACGCACGTAGAGGCTTGCAACAACACGATCATAACTTCATGCTTTATATCTTACAGTTCCCATTGACATTCAATCTACCAACAACCCCAGTTTGAGTCCCAGTAGCAGCAGCAATGGTCATACATTGACCATATCTCCTGGAATGACACAGTATTGGACTCCTCACTGTGAAGACGAAATCAGACCAGCAGTAGACATGATTTTTAAAACATTGGATGCTGGTATTGAATTCTACAAACATTATGCTTCCAAAGTTGGGTTTGACACGAGGTCTAGTTCCGTCGTTACAGCACGTGATGGGACAAAAATTCAAAAGCAAATCGTTTGCAACAGAGAAGGATTTAAGAATACAGGAGCTCAACATTGTCACTCGCAGTCAAGTGCAGATGCAGGGGATGGTCCTTCCCGTCCAAAGCGGCGAAGGGTTTCAAACAGAACTGGTTGCAGAGCTAGGAATATGTTTAAGTACATTGGAGCAGCTGGGTACCAAGTTACCACTTTTATTGAAAAACATAATCACAACATGTCTTCGGTTCTGGCAAGGCAGTTTCTAAAGGGAAATAGAAACATCTCCAGTGTTCACCAGAAGTTTATACTCGACTGCGCTAAAGCAAATATTGGAGCACCAAAATCACACGGTTTATACAGTCAGATTGTGGGGGATTACTCTGAAGTTGGAGCAACTGTAGTGGACTTTAAAAATGTCAGAAGGGATCTCAGAGCATACATATTGGGAGCTGATGCACAAATACTGGTGCATAATCTTATTAAGAAACAAGAGATGTGCCCTGCATTTGCTTTTGACTACGAGGTTGATGAAGATGAGCAGACTGTTTTGGGCAAATCCAATGTCAAAAAAGAATTTTGCTGCATTTGGAGATGTTGTCTCTTTTGATGCCACGTACTCAACAAACAGGTATATACTATTCTATTCACATTCTTGCGTACGTTTCATTAATTAATACACATTTAGCATTGCCTGATCTGTTGAGACATGTTAAGATTTAGACACGTTCACTGTTTTATTGAAAAAGAATTGAAATACAAATAGCGCACATTGTCGTTTTATACCACGCATCTTAAACGCTTCTGTCTCGCATATTAATGCGGAATTTCCAGAATTAGACCTCAATTACATACGTGTGCTATTTTAATACTTAATGTGCGTTACTATAATTCTCTAAGTGTGGCAGTTTGACACCTGCATACTGTGATGACGCTTTTTGTCTTGTAGGTACGATCTGGTTTTTACACCCTTCACCGGAGTTGATAACCATAAAAAATGTATAACATTCGGTGCTGGACTACTGTTGAAAGAAGACATTGAGTTTTATGTTTGGCTCTTTGAAAAATTTAAAAAGGCAATGGGTATGGAACCAAGAATAATTGTCACCGATCAAGATCCAGCTATGAAAGTGGCGATTCCAACAGTTTTCAAGCAAGCAAGGCATCGTTATTGCATGTGGCACATCATGTGTAAAGTTTGGGAAAAGGTGGGTCCTACGCTGAACAAGGATGAGGAATTCAGGAACAAACTGAACTCAATCGTTTGGACGTCATCTTTGGAACCTCCTGATTTTGAGAAGCAGTGGAGAGAGCTAATGGAAAAGTACAACTTAGTCGAATACAACTGGTTTAAAACTATGTTTGAGGCTAGAAAGCATTGGATCCCAGCGTATTTTAGAGATGGCTTTATGGGAGGACTACTCAGGATAACTTCTCGTTCCGAAAGTGAGAACTACACGTACAACCGTTTTACTGGTCCCCAATCAAGCCTAGTTGAATTCATGATGAACTTTGACAGTGCTCTTAAATCACAACATAACACAAATGCAAAGCTCAACAGTGACAACGAAGGGTACAATCCAGATATGAAGACGCCTCTGGGGATTGAAAAGCACGCTTCAATCGTCTACACCATTACTGTTTTCTATCAAGTTCAGGAAGAAATATGTGCCTCCTGTTTCAAATGTATGGTGTTGAGTGTTAGAGAAGACGGTGGACTGTTGCACTATGATATTATGGATGGAAAGAACAAAAGATTTACTGTGGTGCACAATGTAAATGACCATGAGGCCAAATGCAGTTGCAAGATGTTTGAGATGGTTGGACTGTTGTGTAGACACATATTTGTGGTCTTTAGAGACCTTGAAAGGATCCCTCTGAAGTACGTGGTTAATCGGTGGACTAAGGATGCATCTTTAAAAGCTACATTTGAAATAGATGGTGTGATTTACAATCAGAATGGACCAAAGGATGAAAAGAAGATGTTGCTGAACAAAGTGTGGTCTGATATACACTGTTGTATGGATCTGGCAGGTTCAAACATGGAGCAATTGCCTGCATTTTCCCAAGTGATTAATGAACAGAAACAGCTGCTACTGTCAGGAAAGGATAAATTGTCCCCTCAGCACAGCAGGAGGACTGTTATAGAATCATATTGTGGATCAACCGAAATTTCAGAGATCAACATACTTCCACCGAAACATGCAAAGAACAAGGGCATCGACAAGCGTATCAAAAGCAGCAAGGAGTTGGCAATGGAAAAAGAAGAGGGCAAGAGGTGCAATTTTTGTGGTGTTAGAGGAGATCACCATGACACCAGGACTTGCCCACTTAACCCCAAAAGTAAGGACAAGCAAAAGGGTAAGAAAAATGCATAGCAGACTATTTTTTCAACTCCTTTACAGTCGAGAACGAAAATGGATAGCAAATATGAAACACAACTACTTAGTTAACTCATTTCAGAACGCTTTTTACAGTTGAGATACTTGAATTTAATGTCCAGCTATTACTAGTTTTTGTTTTTATCACTGATTTGTGTTTAACAATCACTGCTACTAGCTTAATGTGCTTGTTATTACTACTTTACCTGCGTGCAGTTAATTCTTAATATGCGTTTATTACATTTTTAACGTGCGTTACATTAAACCTTAATGTGCGTAGTACAGAAACAGAATGTGCGTTGGTTTATGAATAGAAACTTTGGTCCGTGGTAAACGTCTTTACATGCGGCGATTAACATTTAACTTGCGCGACATTAAAGCTTAATATGCGTACAAATGCAATATTTAACACTTTCTTTCTCTAATATGCGTTTAATTATTAGTTAATATACGATGCGTTAAAGATAATTCTAATATGCGCGACTAGAAAACTTAAAGTGCGTTTATTTGATTATGAAATAATTTGCAGACAAAATGATACAAGAACAACATGCGTGTAAATATAAATTTAATTAATTTGCATCGAAATAAATGATTTTTTAAAGCCAAAAGTTTAATGTGCGTTGTGAATCCAATTAAAGTGCACGAAATATCAATCTAATATGCGATTATTATATATTATTAATAAATCCAAAAGTTTAATGTGCGTCGGGAAACCAATTAAAGTGCGCGAAATATCATTATAAGATGCGTTTATTATATTTTATTAATAAATACAAAAGTTTAATGTGCGTCGCGAAACCAATTAAAGTGTGCGGAATATCATTCTAAGATGCGTTTATTATATTTTATTAAAAAAAAAAGCAAGTAGAATATGCGTTAATGATAACATAATAGATCACATAATGGACATAAAATGATAATATATAATTTTTATTAATTCATAAATTGTATGATGAAAATAACAACAAGTAGTCACATAATACGCATAAAAATCTTGATATTTTCGTCAATATTCATCCTTATTACGTAGCCTCCTCATTGATTACATCCTCATTAGCCAAGTTTCCAACAGGAGCGTCAGGCACCTGTTCATCCATCAAGTCGTGAAAGTTACTAAACTGTAAATACATCAATAAAATTATATATATATATATATAAAAAGGGGGGAAAACAATGTAAGTATGCAGTAGATCACCTCTTGATCGAAATCATAATCTTCTCGGTCATAAGCATATGTTGGGAACTCAGCATCGTCTTTCAGTAATATTGCACCAGTTCTCTCACAGAACATCACCATATACCAGAGACTAGAGGTCTTGTTTCTATAGGTATTATAGGTCACCTCAAATCTAATGAGTGGATAAGCTTTTCTTTCCACAAATCTGTTGCCGCGCCTTTGCGCAAACGGTTGTGGAATGTGCATATGAATAAAAGTCCCCTGAAATTATTTAAAAACAAAAAAAAAAACACAAAAAACATATGCATCAACAGTATATTTTATAAATATAAAATATTACTCCGTAAGATTTATATTACACTAAACAAAAGTAATACCTCTACATCGTGAAGTACACACTCTATAGATTGGATTCTTTCAGAACCTTTAGTTTCTGGAAAACGAACAACTCGTAGAACTCGAACCCTAATTAAATTCCAGCGCAGTCCTATGCGGAGTTGGTTTCCAACTACTTCGGTGTGGGGTTCGGCTGCCATTGAAACTCTCTTTACAAGGTAGAGTAGAAAAGCAAAAATGTGTTTGAAGGAGACAGGTTTGAGTCGAGAATAATGGTGGATTTAAATAGCAAATTCTTAAACGAATGCGACTATTTGTATGTGACAACTTTAAGTCTAGTAGAACGTGACTGTTGATATGAAAATGTTCGATTGGGTATTATTGAACGAAAATGCGTCAATTTATTCACTAATATGCGCACCTTAAACACGTTATTATGCGTATTATTGCTACTTTACCTGCGTGAAGTTAATTCTTAATATGCGTTGATTACACTTTTAAAATGCGCTACATTAAGCCTTAATATGCGTAATACAGAAACAGAATGTGCGTTGGTTTATGTATATAAACTTTGGTCCGTGGTAAATGCCAACGTCTTTAAATGCGTCGATTAACATTTAACTTTCGCGACATTAAAGGTTAATATGCGTACAAATAGTCAAATACAATATTTAACACTTTCTTTGTCTAATATGCGTTTAATTATTAGTTAATATAATGTGCGTTAAAGATAAGTATAATATGCGCGACTGCAAAACTTAAAGTGCGTTCGTTGAATTATGAAATAATTTGCAGACAAAATGATACGTACATAAACGATTGCAGATATTTATTTCTTCTAGTACTTTGAAGACATTTCTTCTGGTTTCGGCAGCATCCGACACATCACCAGCCACCCACAATTGCTCAACTCTCAGCCTTTGGATGTTGTTTGGAAACTAGACGATGAGCTTGAAGAAGAGAATGACAAATGCTGCTTCAGATTTAGAATGTGTTGTTTTTGTATTTAGTTAAAGTCACTGCAGCCTGGAGGGCGATGAAGATGAAAATGCTAGAGAAGATGAAGAATAAATGAAGAGGATTCTTCTCTACTTGCGGAAAAGTGAGAGATAGCCATTTCAATAACCTGATGCTCAGTTGTGTGTTGTTCCTTGTAATAATTTATATATAGGTGAATAACTTGGTCACATGCACTGATTTGAGATTTCAATGTTGCGTGATTTACAGACACATTAGATTTTTCAAGATTTGCTTTAATGGGTGCGTTTTTTAAGGCATTGAATGACCATTCAATGTTATCCGTTTCCCCCACCAACTACAAATGCCTTAAAGTTCTGACATCAAATATCTTTGAATGTTACGTGGATTGGTATAAAAGACTTAATATGCTTTGCTTTGATCTGTTACATGCGCGACCTACAAGAACAACATGCGTGTAAATATAAATTTAATCAATTTGCATCGAAAATAAATGATTTTTTAGAGCCAAAAGTTTAATGGGCGTCGGGAAACCAATTAAAGTGCGCGAAATATCAGTCTAATATGCGTGTATTATATTTTATTAAAAAAAAACAAGTACGGAGTAAAATATAATAAAAACTTCAAGTCTTTACAAGGGTTCGATCCTGGGTAAAATCATTTTAATCAAAAACTTCTACCATTTCGCTAGTGGGATCATCCATCACTTTGATTATAATATATTATTAATAACAACAACAGAGGCAGACATGAGAGCTTGTTTTTAATATGCGTAAGGCGTAGATATAATGTGTGTTGGTTTATTTATAAAATCTTTGGTCCGTCGTAAACACCAAAGTCTTTAGATGCGTTGATTACCGGCCTAAAATATTTAAAGTCTTTTGGGGGGGATTCAATCCTGGGCAATTCAATATATTCAAAGACTTCTACCATTTCACCAGTCGACTCATCCATTTTTTCCTTGTATACCAAAATATATGTTGCCTACTTACTAATAACGAATCAAAAAGGAAGCAATGTGCCTCTATTTAATTCTTAATATGCGTTGATTTACACTTTAAAGGTGCACTACACTGCGGCTTATATATGCGTAACACGTAAACGTAATGTGCGTTGGTCTATGTATAAAAACGTAATTGTTCAGACATTGCGTTGAAAATTAGTCTAGAATGCGCGATTGCAAAAATTAAAGTGCGTTTGTTTGATTATGAAATAATTTGCATTTAAAATGACACATACATGCTTTGAATTTAACATGCGCGACATATCAATTTAAAATGCGTGATATTGGAACACAATGAGCGTTGGTTTCTATAGTAATAAAAATAATAATTTACACTCTAGTACATTAGTATTTGTAAACGTAAATACACATTGAAACAACACCAATAACATTCAGTGCATCTTTTCTAGTGCTTTGAAGACATTTCTTCTAGTTCCGGCATCATCCGACATGCTGCCAGCCTACCACAGGAGCTCGATTTGGACATGAGCAAGGAGTGTGGATGCATGTAGGCTCGTGGTCTCTAAGCTTGCTATATATGATAAATTCCTGGCAGCCGTAGGTGTTATTTGGGATGTCGGATGTCCTCAACTCTCTCAGCCTTGAATGATGTTTGGTTGCAGCATGACGAGCTTGCAGCTGAGGATGACGAGTGTTCTTTCAGGTTTAGAATGTGTTGTCTTTGTATTTCTTTACAATCACTACAATCTGGAGGGCGAGGGGGGTGAAGAGGGCATGCAAGATGAGGAATAAAAGGAGATGGTTCTTCAGAACGTCCGGACACATGAGAGGTAGCCATTTCAATGAAAATTGATGCTCAGCTGTGTGTTGTTCTTTCCAATTTATAAGCGAATAACTTGGTCCAATGAACTGATTTGAAGATTTCAATGTTGTGTTAATGTGCATGTTTTTTAAGGCATTGAATAACCGTTCAATGTTATCCGTCTCCCCAACTACCAATGCCTTAAAGTTTTGACATCAAATATCTTCGAATATTAAGTGGATTGTTATAAAACACTTAATGTGCTTTGCTTTGCTCTGTTAAATGCGCAGAGGACAAGAACAATATGCGTTCAAATATACCTTTAATTAACTTTTATCAAAAAACGATATTTTTTGAACCCAAAAGTTTAGAGTGCGTCGGGAAACCAATTTAAGAGCGCGAAATATCACTTTAACATGCGTTTATTGTATTTTGTTAAACGAAAAACAAATAAAATATAATAAAAAAATCAAGCCTTTATAGGGGTTCGATCCTGGGCAAAATTAGTTTGATCAAAGACTTCTACCATTTCGCCAGTTGGCTCATCCATTAAATTAATTATATTAAACAATTCTTAACGAGCAATTCTTGAAAATTAAAAACAAAGAAAAAAGCTTGATATGCGCAATACGTACGCTCAATATGCGTAATACTGCAACAAAATTTTCGTTTCGTTATCTACTTAAACTATAGTCCGTGGAAAATAAAAAAAAAAAACTTAACATGCGCAATACAGT